GTAGCAGTATCTGAAATATCTGCCCGGACCACAACTGTGTCACCTTCAACTACTGGATCCACTTTAGAAGGCCTTTTTTTTTTACCCCAAATGCTAATGTGTTTTTTTTCTATCATTTTTTGGGGGTTCTTACAGCTCTTACAACATGAATTCCATATATCAACTTTATGAAGCATATTTGTACATATGCTGCCATCATCACTTTCAAAACACTTTCTACTTGAGCCTTTGGTAAAGTGCTTTTTTCCTCCCTCCGCTCTTCCCCCCTCATGAATCCTTGATCAATTATAGATTATTGTTATTTCATATCTTACACTGTCTGTTGTCTCTCTTCACCCACATTTCTCTTATTTATGGGGGCTACATATCCAACCTTGTGACGGGTCCCTCCCTCCCCCACCCCATCCCCCTACCCTCATGGTTTCACATTAAAGACCGGATATTTTTTTACCAACTTATCCAAGTGGCCATGTATTTTTTCGGCTTTTAGGGTTTTTTTGCATTAAACCATAAATGGGTTTACATCTCATCAACTTTTTATCATATTTATTTATAACTTTCAGTTTTTGAATATAAAACATCTCACGTTATGAAACAATATTTTGCAATGTACACAGAACATTATTACTTTTATGAACTATAATCTTCATGAAATTATAAACTTCTTGTAAAAATAATCAACATAATCCATATTACTTTGAAAAACAGTAAAAATAAATACAGTATATCAAACAAAAAATACATTCTTTGTTCAAAATATCAATCGGTGTTCATTTGTTGATATGTTCCTTTGTTATACGTTGTACTATTGTTACTATGCTCTACAACTATACAGCTACATGGAGAAACAAAGACAGTGTGCAAATATTATCCCTGAAACACTGTGCAAAAGTTATCTCCTCGCCTTTGGTTTGATTAATTGTGGAGACCTTATCCTAAACAGTTACAATTATTCCACACATTGTAATTAGCATAGGACTTCTATATAAACAAAGGTTCCTAGTACTTTTCTAATGCATGGTACTTTGTATAACATTTTTCTCTGCGAAGCGGTACCTTACCAAGTTTGCAAATATACCTGGTTTCACTTCTTTTTCCATGGGCAGCGCAAACTCTACAGGCTCTGGTAGGAAGTTTCTTTTTTCCATTGCTTGAAATGAATACAGGCTCATGCTGCTCATGTCCCCTGACAGCCTTCCTGGTGGGTCTGTACGTGGTGCTCTCCCTGCGCTACAGGGGTTGGGCTGGACATCTCTCTCTCTGGTTCCAGAGAGCCTTCATTTTCATCGTCAGTAATCCAGTATTTTGCCACTGACAGGAGAAACTGCTTGTACTTCATTTTGTTTCTCTGGATTCAGGGCATTGTAAATTCTATAACAATTGAAAAGTCCACAGTTTATGAGATAAAGGATGACTTTTTGTCCATGTCATTGTTTTCCTTAGAATAGGATAATACGAGAGGTACTGATCTGCATGATCAACTCCCTTCAGGTGGGCATTATATTGACGTATACACACAGGTTTCAATCTACCCTCCCCAGTTTTTCTATTGTTCTTTCCTGTATTTGAGACAGAAGCATCATGAATTGTTGATATCATTCTGACTTCTCGCTTGTCTTTCCATATGAGGAGAAGATTGTCACCTTTTCTACAGAAAACTGTGTCACCTTTCTTCGTTCTTAATGCTTTGACTTTTGGAGTTAGTGGTAAACCTCTGTTCACTCTAATAGTACCAGAGGCTCTAGTTTTGGTTTTCGGTAGTAAATCAGCAGTTGAGGTACTGTGAGAGTAATGATCCTGGTAGATACGGTGCCACATCCCAAGATGAGGGCCAAGCACTGAGAGAACAGTCTTCCATTCCTTCCCTTCACCAGTATACACTTCCATGTTGCAGATGTAGCCTGTGGCACTCTCGCACACCATCCTGACAAGTAAACCATGCTTTGTCATCTTTGCTGGGTTGTATGTTCGAAACCTCAGGCGTCCTCTCCCTGGAATCATCCCCTCATCCAAAGACAACTGTTGCTTTGGTCTGTAAAGTGTCATGGATTTATTGAGGAAATAATCCAGCACAGGTTGAATTTTAAAGAGCCTTCCAGAGCTATTGTCCATTTTTGTGTTATCATTACAGTGCC